TAAATGCATTAGGTGTGTACCTTAATACTGGTTAGGTTAGGAGATGTTGTCGGTAGGGTTGGTTGGGTGTATAACCCGTGGTTAAGATGTGACCTGTGAGTATATATATAATTCACTGTTGTAAGTTTGGCCAGGTTCTGAGCCATATTGATAATGTTGGAAAGTAAAACGTGTCTTAGACATTAGTGTCATGAGACTGTATAATGATGTAATTGATTATCTTGGTTAACCATCTATTGAATGCTATTGCTTTATTCAATGCTTATATTTGGTTTAGTATATTTCTACTGGGCTGTGGCTCACCCTATATGGGAACATCATTTTCAGGTTCAGGTGATAAGCTACCTCCAAGAACTTAGCTTGGAAGGACTTGGACTTTGAAGACTATTTTCAGTTATTTGTTTTTTTTTTATTTGTTAGTACATGTAAACACTCAAGCCTAGGGCTTTATTTGTATTTGAGTTAGAACTCATACTTTTGTGTCCAAGTGTTGGCTTGGAAAGATGTAAGCCTGTAGGGCATTTAATTTGATGTTACATGCAATGCTTTTAATTAGTAAGACTCTGATGAATTGTTTCCTTTTTAACATTGCATGTTGATGATATATATATTTAATGGGTTTATTTTTGAGGGCGTTACAGGAACTATAAGCACTAGTAGCACAATTCTTGAAAGTCCGTACATGCTAGGGGACTAGAAGCATTTGTAGCACAACCTTTGTTAATGTAATCCCTTGAACCTGAAAGCCTCGAAAGACTTGTTAGATAAATTTGATTTGCCCTTGGATTTGGTACAAGATGTGATGTGTTTTGATTTGATAGAGATTGCGGGTATCATTCATGTAAACCCCTTTATTATTTATATCATTCACTGAGTATCCAAGCTCACCCCTCTCTATAGATGTAGTTGACGAGCAGGACGGCGGTGATGCCTAGGTGTACTTGCCACTTGTTTTGGATCATGCACTTTTGACGCATCTTGAAGATTATGCTTCTTAGTCGTATTTTGTTATACTTTGTATTTGATGGCTGAGAAGCCTTTTGGTCAAGATGTATTTTGTATTTCATTTGGTTGTATTGAAGCTATGTAAGAATGTATGTCATTCCATTTAACTTACGCACAGCTCTTATGGACTAATTAAATTTGTAATCATTGCTTCCATACTGGTTAGCCCCATATGTAATACTCTGTTTGTGTGTGATTTTTTTGAGGGTTGGCCTTCGGTAATCTCAGATTACTAGCCATCATGGCACCATTCTACTAGGGGCAGAATGGGATTGTGACACTTAACCTCTTCTGTGTGTGTGATTGTGTACATATGTGTGTGTGATTGTGTACATATGTGTGTATATAATTGTGGCCAAGAATTCAAATTCCATCTAGAAAACTCATTCCTCACACCAACACTCACTCTTGATCATTTCCCTATGAAAGGTCGCATGAAGGCAGGAGGGATTTAGTTTTCATTTTTAACATCCACAAAAGCAAATACAGATCTAAAACATAGGTTGACAGCATAATTGCCCGAAATTCGGGTTTAGACAGATCAAACTTGGGGTATAAAGATCCTTTTCAACCCCAAGAACAAAAAGATTAAAAAAATATGATATTTTTTATTGTGCTTTGGTTTTTTGCATTTTCGAAAACAAAATTGCTTGGTTGCACTTTTCCAAAAACACTTTTTAGAAAATTTTACTTTATTGTTTTCCGTATTTTTTTTTGTTTTTACTGAATTTTTTTAATATTTTAAGTAATTTTTTTTACTTTTTAGACATACATAACATAAATATACCTAAAAAGTAAAAAAATTGTGAAAAAAAACCTTTTAAAAATTCACTAAATACCAAAAAAAAAATAAAAAAAATACAAGAATTCAGCATATTTTTTTATATTTTTATGTATTTATTAATATTTTAAAATATTTTTTCACAAATTTTTTTATTTTTTAGATACATCTAACTAAGGTGCATATAAAAAAGTAAAAAAAAAAATGTTTAAAAATTTAAAAATATTCATTAAAAACAAAAAAACGTGAAAATAAAAAAATTCAATTTTCAAAAAACTTAATTCGAAAAACACCAGTTTTCATTTCTAAGCCTAGTTTCTGAAATTTTAAAATAACTTTTTTATTGTTGCTAAAAATTGGATAATTTTGGGGAGATTTTCCTGAAATTAGTTTTCGTTAATAGCCAAATTTTCTGTATTTTGCAAAAAAAAAAAAGAAAAAAAAAATTTAAATTAAGCAGATTACAAAAACTGAAAACACAACCAAATACGTTCCAAATCCAACAATTAGAAGCAACATGGACTCAAATCCCAGATGAAAAGATTTCTATTGGATTTGCGATGGTTAAAGGAAGGGTATTATGGTGGGGGAGCAGGCAAATTATTAAAATAAAATTGGTTAGGATTTGTTATTGTATTTGATCTATTATATAAGGAAAATGATCTTTTTAACCCACAAATTTTGTGGGAGCTCCATTATTCAAATCTTAATTTTTTAATTTTTTGATTAAAAAATAAATTTAAATAATGAAGAAAATCTCAATTTGTTAACGTTTATTTGAGAATCCCACATTAGAGAAAAGAAAGAAAAAAAATGAGTTGTTTTATTCATATAAAGAGAATCTTATACTTTCATTCCTATTTAGTGAAGAGTCTTGTGAGAGTTTCAATATCACAACAAAAATTCTCAATTCACACAATTTTAGTGTTCGGATTTCAACTTCCAAACGAAACCATGCTCTATCATTGATATCCAAATAATGAATTTTTATTCATAAATTAATATTCTGAAAAAGGGTCTTTTTAACCTACAAACCTTGTAGGAGCTCCATTATTTCAATCTTAATTTCTTAATTTTCTAATTAAAAAATGAATTTAAATAATTAAGAAAATCTCCATTAGTTAACTTTTATTTGATAATCTCACATCGGGAAAAGAAAGAAAAAAATGAGTTATTTTACTCATGTAAAAGAAATCTTATACTCCCATCCCCAATTTATTGAAGAGTTTTGTGAGAGTTTACCTCAACAAAAATTATCAATTCACACAATTTTAGTGCTCGGATTTCAGCATATCCAAATAATGAATTTTTATTCAGAAATTAATATTCTGAAAAAGGGTCTTTTTAACCCACAAACCTTGTGGGAGCTCTATTATTTCAATCCTAATTTCTTAATTTTCTGATTAAAAAATAAATTTAAATAATTAAGAAAATCTCCATTGGTGAACTTTTATTTGATAATCTCACATCGGGAAAAAAAAAAAGAAAAAATAAGTTATTTTACTCATATAAAATGAATCTTATACTCCCATTCTCATTTAGTGAAGAGTTTTGTGATAGTTTCAATATCTCAACAAAAATTCTCAATTCACACAATTTTAGTGCTTAGATTTCAACTTCCAAGCAAGAACCATGCTCTATCATTGAAATCCAAATAATTAATTTTTATTCAGAACTTAATATTCTAATAATTATTTTTGTTCAAAAATTGATATTCGAACGACGAAAATATTGTAAACTAAAACAAAGTGTAGTGTGTAAATAAAAGCTGCCAAAACAACTGTGCATGATGTTTAATAAGATTGTCTATCAGAATTGTTCATGTGTTTGATGTTCTTCTGATAATATTAAAATAAATAAAGTATAGAAACCTACTTGAAACCAAGTTCTGTTTTTATAATAAAAATCATAGAATAGTAGTTGGTTTTAATTTTATTTATTTAATTAAAATTAATAAAATTAATTTTAATTAAAATTTCAATTCAACACAGTTTAAATTTTAAAATTAAAATAAAATTTAAAAGTTTTAATTAATTAATTTTTTGTATAGGTTGGGTTGTCCTTGGACCTAGCCGATAGGTTGAACCGTTTTTGGTTTGACTGATTTGCTGGTTTAACTGTAATTTTATCGGTTTTAGCAAAATATATTGGTTAAATTTGTTTTAGTCGAAATAAATTAAAGATTGACGTAATTAAAGATTTAATGGCTAAGATTGTTTGATTCAAAATAAACTTCTCACCCAAACAATTGTTAACTTTTAAACAATTAAGAAAATTCCTTTTGGTTAGCTTTCATCTAATTTTTATTTTATAATCTTACATTGAGAAAAAAAAGAAAAAAGAAAAAGTGAATTGTTTCACTTATATAAAATGAATATTATACTTCCATTTCTATAAACAAAATAAGATTTTTAGTGAGAAACATTATGATCAATATCTCATTCTATTTTTTATTTTATTTTATTAATTTTAAACAATTAAGAAAATCCCGATAGACTAACTTCCACTTAACTTTTATTTTACAAAATATAAAAAAATTAAATATAATTATCATATTTTTAAAAATAATATATTATTTTATTCCGTACATAGCACAGGTGATATGCTAATTATATTTTAAAGTAATGTTAGTTATAATTTATTTAAAACTAAAATTTATAATTTTGTCAATTTAAATCTTAAACTTTTTATTTGTTTTGAATTTAATTCATTTACTTATTTTTTTTAAAAAAAGATATTTAGTCATTAATCTGAATGAAAAAAGGATTGGGCATTACCTAGTGGTTGGATAGCACTTTTTATGATAGGTTTTGGATTTAACTCCTATGAAGAGAAATTTGATACATTTTGTGGTGATATTTAATTCTTTCCCATTATTATGGGATTGTATGTGATTAGTGGTTGTTGCGCTTGGGCTTTAGATATTTTTTATATACTTGTATTGAGTTTAATGAATAATTTTTTTTTTCTTTCGATTTTACTTAATGAAAATATACAAATTATTTAGATTAAAAATAAATTAAGAAATTAAAAATTTAATTGGTAAACTAAAAAGATTTATTTATTTATTAATTTTCCTAATTTTGTTTGGAAAAAATGCAAATTAATATATGCTTTCAAAAACAATTTCAAATTAATAGTAGAATTTATCGATTTTAATAATTAAAGCTATAAATATTTTTGAACAATTTATAAATATTTTTGTCAACTCTCTCTCTCTCTGTGTCTCACACACACTCACAGTCTCTTTCTCTCTCTCTTCTCTCTCACTCACACACAGAGCTTGAAGAATATGTCACGAAGAGTTTGTGTTTCTTCCATTATTGAACGAAGAAGAAGAAGAAGAATTGCTGATCATAATTGTCAAAAAGGTACAATATTTCCCTCTCTAATTAATCTTCCCTCTTCATTCTTATTTCTTCTGTTTCGTTCTCTCTCTACTAGCCGAAGCCCTAGTTCTCCTCCTGTTCGATGCAATGATCTCCAAGACGCTGTAAATTCGTTCAATCGCATGATCCAAATGCGACCTTTCCCCCCCATTTCTCAATTCAACAAAACTTTAGGTCCTCTTTTGAAATTGGGTCATTACGACCTCGCACTTCCTCTTATTGGGAAATTGCATTTTCTAGGCATTCATGTCGATATCTACACCTTCAACATTGCTATTAACTGTCATTGCCGCCTGAATCAAGTCGATTTTGGGTTCTCTCTTTTGGGTACCCTCTTTAAACGCGGTTATACACCTGATGTAACTACCTTCACAACTCTGTTAAATGGACTTATTTTGGACGATAAAACCCCTGAAGCTGTAGAGTTATTTAAGAAATTAATAAGAATGAGAGAAATTGAACCCAACGTGGTTATGTATGGAACCATTGTTAATGGGCTCTGCAGAACGGGGAACACTATCAGGGCTGTTAGTTTGCTTAGGATAATGGAAGAGGGAAGCTGTAAACCTGACACCATAGTGTATAACACGGTCATTGACAGTCTTTGCAAGGATAGAATGGTGGATGATGCTATGAAACTCTTTTCTAAGATGAATGAACAAGGCATTCATCAAGATGTTGTCACTTATAACTCTTTGATTCATGGCCTATGTAATTTTGGCTGGTGGAAGAAGGCTACCGGAATGTTTAGAAAAATGTTGGATAGTGGTATTGCTCCGAATGTTCATACGTATAGTGTGTTGCTGGATGCATGTACCAAGGAAGGGAAGATGAAAGAGGCAGAGGTGGTACTTGAAATCATGATACAAAGAGGTGTGGATCCTAATATAGTCACATACAATGCTCTAATGGATGGATATTGTTTGCAAGGCCAAATGGATGGATATTGTTTGCAAGGCCAAATGGATGGATATTGTTTGCAAGGCCAAATGGATGGATATTGTTTGCAAGGCCAAATGGATGGATATTGTTTGCAAGGCCAAATGGATGGATATTGTTTGCAAGGCCAAATGGATGGATATTGTTTGCAAGGCGACATCGATGAAGCAATGAGAGTGTTCAATACAATGGTGGATAGGGGACTTCACCCTGATGTTTTTAGCTATACCATTCTAATCAATGGATATTGTAAGAAAATGAAAATAGATGAGGCTATGCATCTCTTTCAAGAAATGCCTCAGAGGGGGTTGCAACCTAACACCGAAACCTTCAGTGCTATGCTACAGGGTTTGTTTCGATCAAGTAGATGTGGAGCTGCTCAAAAACTTTTTAATGATATGCAAACTGCAGGCATAAATCTAGATTCTCAAACTTATGGTATCTTATTGGATGGGTTGTGCAAAAATGGGCATATTTCCGAAGCATTGTCATTATTCCACATGATGGAAAGCAACGGTTTACATCTTGATATTGTTATGTATAATATCCTCATTGATGCATTCTGCAAGGATAAAAAGCTTGATACTGCAAGGGCTATTTTCAGTAACCTTTCTTCCAACGGATTACATCCTGATGTTAAGACATATAATATGATGATACATGGTCTTTGTGAAGAAGGCCTATTGCATGAAGCTAAAGAGTTGTTTGTTAAAATGGAAAAAAATGGTTGCTTGGCAAATGATGTCACTTACAACACTATTATCCGAGGATTTATTGGACAACACAAGTGCTATGAGGCATTAATACTCGTTGAAGAAATGGTTCAAAGGGGTTTTTCGGTAGATGCATCCAATTCTTCCTTGATCATAGATATACTCTCAACTAAAGGACGAGATCCTGCTCTCCGAGAAGTGATAAAGAAGTTCATGTCAAAAGATAGTCATGGAATGCATGATATTGAGTAAATTTCTTAAGATGTGAACGTAAAGCTACACACATTAAAATATATATTATTTGGTGAAATTCCTTTTTTTTTTTTTTTGGGTTATATATTGACATGGACTTATACTTCTCCATTAACTATTTTGGACTTGTTGCTACATGACTTTGCAACTTGTTTTCACATGTTGTAGATTCTTGTAGACTATTTGTTACCTCTCTCTCCGCAGTATTTTAATTCACATGTTACAAATTCAAGTAGATTCTTTTTCAATCCCCACTGAATTATGTACAAGTGGTTATTTCTTAGGGGTTTAGGATAAATGACAGCCAGTGGTACTTTTGGAGATTTCTTTCTTGGGTATGTGGCATCAACTAGTTCTCTGAAGGAGAATTTATGGTCTTAGTAGTTGTAGAAGATTAAGGGTATGTTTGGTTTGGCTTTATAGAGTGATTTTGGGAAAAAATTTCTAAAAAATTTGTTTGGTTTGGCTTTGTAGAGTGATTTTGGGAAAAATTTCTAAAAATTTGTTTGGTTTGTAATTTTTCTAAAACAATTTTCAAAATCATTTTCTTTTTTTTACATATCAATCAATCACGTTTTCTTTCTCCTCTCTTATTCTCAATCACTTTTTCTCTCTCACACATCTACTTAATTACAACAAAATATCAAATCATTCGAAACTCCCAAATTCCAAAACTACTTTCAAAATATACAATCAAACAAACCAAAAAAATTTCTAAACTCTCTCTCCAAAACAATTTTTAAAAGCTACTCTCTCAAAACGAAACCAAACATACCCTAAATATCTCCGAATGTGGTGTTGGAAGAGGCATAACTGTTGTAGTATGCTAAATTGGGTACGAATTACAATCATTGTTGGTCTTTGTGCTCTATGAGATTTATACAAAGCTTGAGAGGATTGGCATCATAGATGTAAGAAATAATGTATAGAGAAAGAGAGAGAATAAATTGTATGTATTATTATTGATTGATATATTGATATATATTACAATGATTCATGATTCCTATATATAGAAGAGGGTGAGTGTGTAGTAGGTAAGGAGTAGGTGAAGTGGAGGTGGAAGAAGGTGGAGAGTAGGTGGATTTTAACAATAGATGAGATTGTCATTGTTAAATGGAAGGGAAAAAAAAAAAAATGAATAAATCTGTTTAGAAGTTGATACTCTTCCCAGTAGTGGGAGAGGCAATTCTCGCCTTTTTCGAATGCCTATTGTTGTTTTATAATTTCCATTTATGTATCTCATGCATAATGGCTCATAATTCTTTCACCCTGACAAAATTTTTGATTCCCCTCTTCTGAGGTTCATATCTCTGCCATAGTGCTAAGAAACCCCCCTACATACCTCGGTACTGACATAATTCAATGGCAAGAGCAAATTCCTGTTGAATTGACAACTGTTCCTTTTCTTCTAAGCTATTCAAATACATATTATTGTTATATTATTGTATTGGTATTTATTAGCACATATATTCTTTGTGTTGATTGTGATGACTGTCGGAAGTTCATTTGTGTTTTTGCTCCAATTGAAGGTCATGTACTGGTAATTGACTTCGTCAACTGGAGTATGAGCATGCTCTACAAAGCTAAAGCAAACGGGCCATTAAGGATCAGGTTTGGACTCATCGATCTAGTTTTAATTTGCTCCCTCATTCTGATAATGGTGAAGGGACTTTGGTAAAGGACCCACGTGCTGATTTTGGAGATTATTCCAATCCTTGATAGAGTTTTAAAGGCTGTATCATCTTGGACTGGGCAGGATTTCTTGTGGAATCAAGGAATTGGGAAGTACCTGCAACTGCAGAGCTTGATTTTTGCTGTTTGTTTCCTCATACAAGGCAAAAGTCTAAGCTTAATTCCTCATCATTACATCCCAAGGGTAGCAGTCTTTTTCAGCAGCACAAGCATAAAATTATTATTATTTTTATTTGAGTAAATTACACATACACTGACCTCCCTTGAGGTTTCTGACAATTTCAAAATCTGTCCTTGTGATTTTTGAGATGACTTATGACACTGCTGTGTTAATGGAATACATTTTTTAAAACTATTTTGCTCATAGTTATAATGTCATAAAAATTCATTTTTATCGTCAAATTCAATAAATTTTGAGAAGACAAATATACCCTGAATGCCTCACTCAATTTATCAGCTGAAGCCACAAACTCCGAAAAGTTTTGTTTCATCTATTTATTTGAACTCCTAAATCTATATGTATGTGTACATAGATATATATTTGAAACTATAGTGAGAGTCTTGTTTTATTATTGTTTTCATTCTATGTTCATTTTGGCTTTCTCCTTGTCCTTACAGTGCATTCATCTGGAACAATAAGACTCATGTATGCTAGTCGATTGTTAGCATTTGGATGCCCCTTGTGCTCATAAACATGTAACCTGTCCATACATCTTAATGATTGGTAGTTTCTAAGTTCTATTCCTGGGAGCCTCTTGAAGATCAGATTGAAATATTAGAGCTTGAAAAATGCTTTGAATTAACCCAAGTTGATTATCAATAGCCATTATGGTGATCTGGAGTTGCAAGGCTATAGAAACTGCATCTTTGAACAACTCCAACATTACAAGGAAAAAGATTAGAAAGCGAAAAGGAAAAAAAGGAAACAAGTGACATAATAAGAATCAAGTCTATGTATTTAGAAATTTAATTTCTCTCTCTCCCCCTCTCTCTCTCTCTGCAGGTAAGAACAGAGAATAAATTTCAATTCATATAGTCTGATGAATTTACTACTGTTCCTTTTTCTTCTAAGCAATTCATATACCGTAGTATTTCCATATCATTCTGTTGATATTTACTGACATTCTATGCTGTAATAGAAGGGGCATGCATTGGTCGTTTATCAACTGCAGAAATATTCCATTATGCTAGGAAGAAAATTTGCACATTTAGCTGCAAATTCACCATCAGGGTTTAGTATTACATTAGTTATGTTCTAGAGATGAATAAAAACCCTTTAGATTTCATTTGATGTCTAGCCAATTTGTGTTTAATTGTGAGAGTTCCCTTCATAGTAGAGGTTTTGTGATGCAATAATGTTACGATTGGCTTAAAGGTAACTTTGTTGGCCTCTTAACAAAAAAGAAAAAAAAAAGGTTATCTTTATTAGTCACCCTTTTGACTTAGAGCTAGTGGACTTCATACTAGTGATCTTCTTCTTCATTCTCTCCCAGGAGATTGCCATGTTCAATGCAAATGCTCACTTGATACATCGTTTATAATAAATATAGATGCCGCTACCGCCTGAAAACATACATCTATTTTGTGCAGGTAAGAGAGGTGAAATTGATGTTTCCGGGTTGATGTTGATAAAAGCTTTATGGCAACATCCTTCAATAGATCTGTCTTGTAAATAAACGTTCCCCAGTTTCTACACAAATAGGAGAACAAGTATTGATACTAAATTGATTGACCATCAATCAGAGAGTGCATGGGAGTAACTCAGACCTTTTGCATTTGCAATGATTCTAAATGTAGCTAATTTCCTTGGTAGAAACAGTAAATACTTGGTATTCTTATAATCTCTACCCACTGAAGCTTTGAACCACTCAGCTTACCAGGCATAGCATGACAAGTTATTTTTTTCTAATTTTTTTTTAAAGTGTTTGCAGCAATTATGATCTCTTAAATGGTTCTTGGAGATTCTCTTTCTCATATTTTCGATGAGAGATTGCTTATAAGAATTTTCTTTTTATGAATTTATTGTCAGTTTAGATTTTTAAAATTGGTGATGGAATTTTTGTTATATCATTATCTATCCTATTCCATGCCTTCAATGTTGCTTCAATGTTGACATGCCTATCATTTCTTTGTATTTTTTTTGGGGTCTGTGTGTGTGAATGAGCCATTGTTGTGCAAGACATATATCTTTGGAAAGAACAAAAGAAAATCTTTTTGGGACTTCCAAATGTTCTCAGGTTTACTTTGTAGATTTTCATCAAAAATTGGTATTTGGGTTGAAGCTTCATTTGCTCAAATTAGTTTATCCTTTCAAAATTGGTATTTTCAATGATGGCGAACCAAAGAAATATTGCATCATTTTTTATTTTGTATTTTTTGCTATTTGGCTAGAGTTTTGAAGCAATTTATGAAAAGTTGGTGAATATTTATTGCATTTATCTCTTGCAATGGAGCTGTTAACACCGCAGTTAAAGAAGTCATAGCCAGTCACTTAACCTTTGCGGATTCAAGAGATTACAATATTTAGTATGTTTCGTTCAGTTTTTTTAGAATTGAATGTTTTTGTTTTTCGTGTTTTTTTTTTATTTTTATTTTTAGAGAATATTTTTAAAATTTTAAGTAATTTTTTTTTTTGACTTTTCTAGATATATTTTACCTACATATATCTAAATAGTAAAATATTTGTGAAAAAATATTTTAAAAAACTAATAAAAAAATACAAAAAGTATTGAATTTTTATTTTATTTTATTTTTTTGGTGAATTTTTTGGTATTTAGTGTATTTTTTAAAGATTTTTTTACAAATATCATTTTTTAAGTGTATTAATGTTAGATGTGTCTAAAAATTAAAAAAAAAAAAATTACTTAAAACATTAAAAAAAATCATTAAAAATATTAAAATATGAAAAATAAAAAAGTAAATTTTTTTAAAAACCATCTTTTGAAAATCAGAACTAAAGAAACATTAATTTTTCAAAAGGCAATCCAAACTCTATTTCAAACTTTATCATTGTTTGTTAAAAAATCATTGCCCCTATTTCTGTTCTGTTTCAGTGCTTTGCTCCACAACTTTGGAAATTTTTATTTTTATTTTTTATTACCGTTGCTGCTAGCTAGTCCTTTTCCGTAATAAAAAAACAACCAAGTATTGATTTCTTAACTATTTGTGTGCTCAGCCCCTTTAATAAATAACAACTCGACTAAATTTAGGAGAATGATGGGGTTGTATGGTTGAATAGAAAATTGAGTTATATCAATTTTTCAACAACTGTTGATAAGTTTTGTTAGTGTCGACACTAATTTTTTATAAGATTTGTTACTGACAATACTAATTTTTGACAAGTTTTTTTTAATGCGGACGTTACTTTTTTATAAGATTTGGTAGTGTTAATACTCATTTTGATAAGTTTTTCTAGTGTTGACATTAATTTTTTTTTTATAAGATTTGCTAGTATCGATCTAATTTTTGATAACTTTGGCTAGTATTGGCACTTGACACTAGTGTCGATACTAATCTTTTATTTGTTTTGCTAGTGTTAATAATAGTGTCGATACTAATTTTTAATAAGCTTTGCTGGTGTTGGTTCATTTTTTTATTTTTTTTGGGTCACATCAATCAATATCTCCTCTCTTTTTTTTCTACACATAATACAGAAAAAGTCAAAAAGTACACTTATTTAGTCTTCCCAAACTAGGCCTAGTGTTGACACTAGTGTCCACATAATTTTTTTATGGGATTTCCTAGTGTAGACAGACAACAGTGTTGATACTATTTTTAATTTGATTTGATTTCCTTTGCTAGTGTTTCCATTAATGAACATATTAATGTACTAACAGATGATGTGATATCATTTATATGGTTTTAAGTATTTGTAACTTGTATAATAAATGTGTTTTATAATAATATCATAACACTAGTTGGTACACTAATGTGTATATAGCACTACCGTTTTGATAAACTATTGACATTAATTTTTATAAGATTTGTTAGTGTCAACACTAATTAATGAATTGTTTAATGAGTTGTTGGGGTCAGATAATTTAGTTGATGAGTTGCTAATTTGTTTATTGTAGAGCACACATACTAAAATTTAATCATACATTTATAAGCTTAATGCGGCTCATTTTTGCCATTAGTATACACTTTAACACATTCTTTTAATTATTCTATTGGAGATGTTCTTAGTATCTACGTTAATAACTTATGTTTAAATAATTTTAAAATATTACATATTTTTTTATTATATTTAATTTCATACATGTATAACTTTTTAAAATTTCTCGCGCCTTGCAGGAATTTTAACAAAATCCATAATAAATTTGATAAATATAGTCATAATAAATATTGATAAATTATTTAGGAAAAATTGTAAAAAAAATTTAAGATTTGACCCTATAACAAAATAAATCTTAAGTTTTTAATTTTATCAATTTAAACCTTAATTTTGTAATTTATTTTTAATCTAAATCATTTACCTATTTCTATTAACTAAAATTGACGAAAAAATTTGTATTTTAATCATTATATTCAATATAGGTATATGAAAAATGTTTAAAATATTATTTTTTTACTGAGTTTAGTGACTAAAATATAGTTGTCCCTTTAATTTTACCTAACAAAAATATGCAAATAGTTCAAATTAAAAAAAAAAATTAAGGTTTAAATTAGGAAAATTTACCCATAAGTCCTAGTTTTTGAAACGTTAAACAATTTAGTCCTAAAAGTTTTCTTATGCTCCATTTAGTCCCATTTTTACATCAACATGATGTGAATGATGTAAATGATCTGATGTCGCGCCTTGCAGGAATTTTAACAAAATCCATAATAAATTTGATAAATATAGTCATAATAAATATTGATAAATTATTTAGGAAAAATTGTAAAAAAATATTTAAGATTTGACCCTATAACAAAATAAATCTTGAGTTTTTAATTTTATCAATTTAAACTTTAATTTTGTAATTTATTTTAATCTAAATCATTTACCTATTTCTGTTGACTAAAATTGACGAAAAAAATTGTATTTTAATCATTATATTCAATATAGGTGTATGAAAAATATTTAAAATATTATTTTTTTACTGAGTTTAGTGACTAAAATATATTTGTCCCTTTAATTTTACCAAACAAAAATATGCAAATAGTTCAAATTAAAAACAAATAAAAAAAATTAAGGTTTAAACTAACAAAATTAAAAACTCAGAATTTATCTGAGAATTTTTCTTTTTTTCTTTTCTTTTTTTTTGGGAGAAAATTACTCATAAATCCCATTTGGAGAAATGTTGTTCCGCTTGGTCCTGTTTATTTTTGGTATGTTGTATTTATTTGATTTTGGGGTTTTGGATTTACATGTTTGCCCTTGTATTTGATTTTGTTTTGATTTGTTTTTTGATGTGAGGTGTGCGTAGGTAAGATATGTTATTAAGTTTCTATTCTTTGAGGGGGTGATTTGTGGGATTTTGGTGTTACGCCGTTGGTGTGGTTGGGTTGATATGGGAGTTCTGTTTTTGCTGAAGGGATTGGTGACTGTTGCGTATTGTTGTTATTGCTTTTGGGTAAGGTTTTGTTAAAGTACTGGATGAATTCTTTAAGGTGAGTTTTACATGTTGGTTGTTTTTGATTCATTGTGTTTGTTTGAGGTTTCATTTCGGTGGGTGTGTCATAGTTTGGTGGTGACGTTGTTAATGTTACATTGCTATTTGCTTTAATGTTATTTTGTTGTCTGTCGGGGGGATGTGTTGTGTCATCATATGGAGCCTATGGTGATCAGTCTGATTGTGAATGTTACGTTGCCATTTTTGTGGTGTTTATTTTATTTAATTTTCTGTGTGGGAGATGCGTTGTGTCATATCAGAGAGTAAACGATCGTCATTCGGGTGAGGTTCAAGGGGAATTTGTTCGCTGTGACAACTAAGGATAATAACCAAGGTTTGGGTTTGCATTTTCCTAAGTGTTATTGCCCTTTTTTTTTTTCCCCCCAATTTCACCATACTGTCACAATTCACATACAACAACAACATATGAGTCATATTAGGTTAATCAATATTAGTGCTTCATGTACGTTTTCTAACAAGAAATTTCTGCAGGTTTGTTCTCGGTCCTTTTGCTATCGTTGATTCTGAAAATGTATCTAACTGGGAGTGGTTCTTGCATTAGTGATCGAAAGTTGTGGCCGTAGCAGGACGTCAACGTTTATCCGATTGTAATGTTGGCCTCTTGCAATCAATGCCTATTGTTTTCTTGTTGTCACATCACACATTGTGTTTGTTACATCTTGAAATGAATTTATGAGACCAGATGAAATATGTGAATGTGGACCAAAAAATTGGGTTAATGCGCAAGTTACAAGAATGTGCTTATGCGCGTACAATATCGTCTTTTAACTAGAAGATCAAGATATTGAAACAATGTAGCCCAACAGTGGTTGGAAATTTCTTACAAGATTTGCATCCAAAACAATGGGCCAATACATATTTCAGGTATCGTTTACTAACATTAAAATGTCAACATTTATGAACAAATAACATTTAACACTCACATCGGTAATTATTTCCTTTCGCAATGGGTGCAGGTATGGTGAGATGTAGTCTAATGCAGCCGAGTCGTTCAACAATTGGATTTGAAACGCTCGTCATCTTCCCATTACTTAGTTGGTGGATGCAATTAGGGGTCAAATCATGGAACAAATGGCGAAGCATAAAGCTAAATGTAGCGTGTAGGGTGGAGAGCTTTGCCCGAAGATGGAAAAAAATTTGGACTCTGTGTTTAAAAGTAGCAAGTTGTGGATTGCTAGTCAAGTCAACGAGAATGTGTTTGAGGTTCGCTCACACTTATCTATGTCGATCGATATCAACGCGCGTACATGTTTGTGTTTTCAATGGCAATTGAATGGTTTCCCATGTTCCCATACGGTTATTGCATTTCGGAATAGTGGCAAAAACATATACGACTACGTTGACCAGTTCTACCATGTTAAGGAGTTTAGGGTAGCTTATTCTAGGGCTATTCACCCAATTCCTATGGTGGGA